TTCACAATCAGTTTTTAGTAGCCATTTATATCTACCAAGTTGCTTAAAGTCTCAGACTTTCCCTTAACCTTTTATTTCAGACAAGTTAACATTGCAAGTTTTTTATATTTTAAATTAAATGGTCAATAGTTTCATCCGTTACTCAATTATGTAGTAAAATTTCTCTCTTCTCATGATAGTCATTCATTTCAATATGAAAAATCCCACAAAAACAATCGATTTGTAGATTCTTTATAGAATTACACTCCAAATTCAATCTTTCAGTTAAATTCAACGAAATATTTCATAATATTTCAACACTGCAATATCAATTATTTTCAACACGTAGAGATGTTTAATTTAGTTCCAAACTAGTATCTCTTTTAAAGGAAAACAAATAAAAAAAATAAAATAAAACGTGAAAAATCATTATTAGCTTTGAATCTGTAATAATTTTTAGTTGGTGTAATTTAGCCTTTTCACGTTATCAGTTTTTTTTTTCTTAGCTTTTAGTCAGTACAGTTTTTTCCTTCACAGTTTCCCAACCTATGGCCCGTGGGCCCTAAGAGGATCACTGGTCCTTCTGTTAAGGACTGAGTTAACGGGTACAAAATGAACGATTTTATCTAACATTGTACCTAAAAACCTTTAAAATGTTCTTTTCTGGGTAGATCATTCCTATATGCAAACAGGATTAGTGAGCACATTCTTTATCACAGCGGTGTGTGTATAACTTATCTCGCATTTCTCCTTTCTGTCTCGCTTCCCCCTCCTGCTGCTGGCGTCGCTGCAGCTGGTCCTCCCCCCGCCTCTCCTCCAGCTCCCTGTCAGTCCAACTGGCTCTGGTGTTGGATTATTTATAAGTTGTCCAGACCGTCCCTTACTGAATGTCCAGGTTGTCCACCAATGAAACAAGCGAAAAACAGTTCAGTTTGCTGTCTTCGTCTCTGAATCACTGAAGCACAGTATTTGTCTTCTCCACGCTGATGCCAGAGAGTAAACCAGCGGGGGCTGTAAAAGCTCAGTTGCAGGTAAACACAGAGATATAGTTCCAGTCCAAACGTCCAGCAGGACTCCATACAGTAGTTTGCTGCATGGCAGTTCCCAGATGTCCAGGAATCAGGATCAGCGGACATTTTAGTGCCTTTAGTGTCCAGGTGGCAGAAATCATCATGTCCTTTTTCGCTTCTTTATCAACTGTCATTGGCTGGTGATGAAGGAGGGACGTCTTCTGATCTGGCAGGACAGGTTTGAGTTGAGGTCGGAGGTCAGACTCACCGCAGCGAGGCTCAGACAGAGGAAAAGGAAAGAAGCAAATAAGAGTCCATTAGGGTTTGTTCGGCTTTCTGTGTCTTTTTTCTTTTTACAAACATTTTCCATATAACTTTTCTCTTGTGATCGTATAGTGTTTAGCCACTTATTACCCAACATTTTAAGAAATCATAAATCCTTTCCTTATTCAAACACATATAAACATGAAACATGTTAAAAGCTGTAGTCTCTTTTAACCTGTACAATATTAACCTTTAAAATGTAAAATGTAAGTTTATGTTAACTTCATCTGAGTCACGTCTCACCAGAGAACAATGGATTTCTCTAAATTTGTCGATCTTAGTGCTGCAGACTGTGAGGTCAGCGGGCAGCCCTCCTCTCAAGGCCTAAGAGAGACATGAGGCTGGATAATGTCCAGGTCGGTACCTTACTCTGACCTCTGACCCCTCCAGTTATACAGCCAAAGGATCATTTCACCAAGTTGGTGTTATAATCTGATTACGACACAATATATTAAACATTGTTCTCTGGGGAGAATTTTATTATTTAATTTTATTTTTCAGCTTCTCCTCCTTCAGGAAAGTCATAATTCCACTTTTAGCATACAAAGAAGTTGTTCCCATGTTTTTTATTTCAGTGAGACGTCTCTCAACTGGTTTTTCTTTGAAAGTGTAGGAATGATAACAAACAAACAAACAAACAAACAACCAGTGTTCCCTAAAAGTAATTATTTCTGACTTGTGAGGCTTAAACCTAATTTTTAGTAACATTAAATATTATTTTGCATGCATTGGTTTTGTACAGGAATTCAATTTCTTTTATTTATTTATCTTTTACTTAACGTATAACAAGCTGAACTTATGTCCACCATTTCATCAATTTAGTCTGGTGATTTGTCTTTTTGGGGTGTGGTAGAGTCTGATCATGCTGTGTATTTCTCCTGTTTGTGGTCCCCTCACTCCACCATCCCTCCTGTTGCCCCGTGCAGCATTCTTTGAAGGGCAGTTTCTTGACCAGTGGCCAGTATTGCCACAAGTCCAACAGCCATTTAAATGCTGTGGATTTTGTGGGGTGTTATTTTGGGGTCGTCGCCTATTGTGACCTCCTCTGCCTCTGCTTCTTCCGCGTCCTTTCATCCGGCTGTTGGAAAAGGCAGAGCTTTCTAAACCTCCAAATTCATCCAGGTGAAAAACATCTAATCCTTTCACAGCCTTAATGGCCTCTTCTAAGGTCCAGGGTGCAAAAACATATAAGTTTTGTGCACCTTCCTCTAATGAGGGGTACAGTCGTGCTGCTGGGACTGGGGCAGACGGAGCTGCTGCAGCGGCGGGGGGAGGGTTGGCTGCAGGAGCTTGTGCTCCCCGCACCACTACATCATTCCGTGTGCTTAGAATGACTTTATTATCTTTCGGTCTAACAAATAGGTTTTTTGCTTCTACGAATTTTTTGTCTTTAGCCTTTATTATTCCCGTTTTTCTTTCTACACTACTCTCCAAAATTCCCACAATTGTTTGCCATTGATCAATTTTTAGCTTTCCATCTATTTTATATTTCTTTCTCCATTTTTTCATGTGTACAGTGCTACCAGGAAATCTGGACAGCATGTACTTTTCATCCCTATCGGGGCCTTCAGCGAGTGAGGAATTACAAGAATTTGCATTTCCCATTATTTAAATCACTTGCAATTTTAGCTTTTTATTTATTT